ATTTATGTTTTCTATTAATAAAAACCTATTTTTTTTCTTATTGTTAAATACAAGAGTAATCCATTTGTATTTATACCAAATTTATCCGTTGAGTTTAGTTGAGTTGCAGCCACTTAATTAATTGGTTCGAAATGTGTAACCTTCTTTGGTGACAAGTTCGATAGTTGCCCTGAAAGCTCACATGTATTTTTTTGATTGGTAAGATATAAACTTGTCCCAACATGTGTCACCTTTCAATTTACAAAAAATTCCACTGTGGCCATCCAAACTATTTTCTGTTTAATATTTTGAAACTGTTTTACAAAGAGACACTAAACATGCAGACGCAAAACGGCGACATCCTCGGCGTGGCCGGCATAGACGTCCCAATCTCCCAGATCAAACGGCTGATCCCGCAGCACAAGGTGGGCGTCAACGGGTACATCTTCATGGTCACCAACAACGGACTGGTGGTGTTCCACCCGGGGATGCGCCCGATGGTTCGTAGCAAAAATTACTTCAACTGAACTTATTAAAGAGCTTTGCTTTCTTTCTATTCATTTGCCTGGTTTCTTTCCACCGCCATTAGTTCAACGGCATCCTTAAACCTGGCTACAACAGTGTCGACATGACCGAGCTGGAACAGGAGGACGTGCCCTTTCTCAGAAACATGAGCAAGTCCATGAAAGAGGTCGGCACCGGACGCAGGACATTTGTTTAAATTTGAAATATTAAAAATTGCAGGCAACTGTTTCTATGATAAACTGATGCCCACTTATCCTTTACAGTTGCGCGAACTTATCGTGAACCAAACAACGGGGTCGGTAGTCCTGTCTATCAGGCAGGTCTATGACAACTGGGTAAGGCTTGAGGACGCCAACTTGCTCGCCGGCATGCCAAAGTTGTACATGATGGTGATGTTGTCCGCAGCACCGAGTGTCCCGGTGGAACCGCCGCTACCACTTCCAGGGCGTGCCGGACACGCCGTACAGCATGGTGATGGCCGTCCCGGAGGACTACGGCGCATTCCGCGTCGAATCGGGCGGCACAGCAGGTAGGTGCGAGGGAGGGTGCCGGTGCCGGGGTGCTCGGCGGCGTGCTCAAGTGACTGTCTCTGCTCGCAGACAAGCTGCCGGGCATGCTGGCGGCGGAGCGCAACTGGGCGGTGCACCCCGACTGGTCGTACTGCGCGTGCTGCGGGGTGCCAGGGCGCCAGGGGCTGCACAACCGCACCGTGTTCGCGCGCGGCCTGCAGCAGGGCCGAGGCAGGTGCGCGCGCTGCGAGGGCGCGGTGGGTGGCGCCTGTGCCGACTCCAGTCTGGGCGCCGCGCTGGCGCAGGACGTGGAGTGGACCAAGCCGTGGTTCGCACAGGTCAGCAGGGACGCTACCGTCGACAAGAGGTAGGAATACAAGAGTGCGAGGTTGGATATCTCGCCGCACATCTCGACTTTACACAACTTCCCTTACAGGTGGCAACTAGGCAACGTCTCCATCGCCTTCATGGCGACGCACAGCGGGCTGACGCGCTGGGTCACCATGTCCAAGAACACCGTGGTGCGCGACGACATGTGAGTCCGCGATGCGAGTCGCTGGCTGACATGGCTGACACTACTACTAGTGCTCCTCTCACGACGCACGATGGCTCTCTGTTTGCAGCGACCAGCATGTGCGCCGAATGGAAGCGTCGCGCGGCCCGGACGAGGTCTGGTACCGGCGGGCCGTCGAGTCCGCCGCGGCAGCTGCCTCCGTGCACCAGCCAGCGTACCAGATGGACCAGGTGGACCACTGGGTCGTGAGCGTCCCTCTGGTGGACGAGCCTGAGGCGGACGTGTACAGCGAGTACAACGCGGCTTACGACCCGGATGACCCGTGGGCTGCGCGCAAGGCCGGACTGGCTGACCACTGGCTCACCAATGGAATGCCGACCCGAAACCCCAACGATGAAACATACCGGCAGGTAAGCCTTGGCTTTGACCCAGCTCACCGATAATTTCAAAATCTGACATTGTTGCTAAATGGATTTTAGGAAGTGCTGGAAAAGGCGCTCTCCAAGCAGGTTACCATGACCGCGGCCGTGTTCAAGAAGAAGGCCCCCGCGGCCGTCGCAGGGTTGCGCTTTCCACAAGGGACAATCCGATTTTTCTTTGAAAAAACAGTCGGAACTCTCGATGTACGTACTACTAGGGATTTAAAAACTATACAATTTCTTGAAGAAGGTGATAAGAAAATAAATAAAAATTGTCAAACTTAAAGTTTTTTGAAACGTGGGAGAGAGGCCACGGCAAAGTAAATAGACCTTTTCGCCCACAACTTGGCAACAACGCAAATCTGTATAGTGAAATTGTAATTTAGGAAAATTTTCAAAAAGCAAAAACACTTGTCTCTAGTAAATTTTCCAAGGAATCCAGTGGTGATGAGTAATTTGGTTGACAGACACTCAAAATACGGTTTATCTCAAGTATAAGATTCTATTTGCGGCGTTGCCACGTTGTGGGCGAAAAGGTCTATTCGAAAACGTAGTAGGAGTTACGATATCGTTCCCCGTTATGACGTTACCATGTGGTCGCCAGTGCCCCGGGACGGTGGAGCGTTGCGGCGACACGTGCGCCTCCGACAAGCTGGACTGCTTCCTGGTCGACGAGCACGCCATCGTGGTCGCGGACGAGACGAGGCTGCAGGCCGGCCGGCCGCTGGCGCTCGTCAACAGGGACCTCATGGTGCGCCTCGAGGCGGCCAAAGTGTTCCAGCGCGTCACCGTGTCCGACTACCAGGGCGTGTGTCGGCGCAAGGACAAGCACGGCGACTCTGAGGTAGGCACGCGGCAGCGACGGCCGGGGCCGCCCGTGAGGTAGGCCACCCCTCCGGCTCCTGGGCCGTGGAGGCTGCCGCTGATACACACGCTCCCTCTCTGACGCCAGGACGAGGAGGAGCCTGCAGCGCCGTCCACCACACCCGTGCCACCCGTGCCTCTAACTACTCCCAAGCCTAACCGCTGGTTTACACGTGCGTATTCAACTTCTCATCCCAGTGGTACATTTGCGGCAACTAACTACTGGCATCTTCTTCTCTGTCGGTGACGAGTGTCGTCTTTCTGTCGTTATGCAGCCGTGGAAGGGCCGGCCGCCACGGACTTCCAAGTCAGGCTACGTCACGCCCTCAAGCCACTCCGGGTCAAGAAGACCATCCTACAGCTGTGCGACATGAAGGTCGACCTCCACCGCCTCGGCCCCGGCCTGCACCACCGTCAATCCCTACCTCCCCTCAGCTGCGAAAAGAGGTATTAGACCTTTTACACTACTCCTGATCAGGAGCGGGCAACGGATTCATGGACCCAGTTAACTACCCGGTCAGATTGCCCCCTCCCCCTTTACTCCCGGTTCCCTCAACCTGCGCCTGGTGCTAGTTGCCTCGCGGTAGGGAGTAACCTGGCTGGGCAGAGGAGGGAGAAGGGGGTCACAAGAAATGCTGCCAAAGTGTCTATATAATGTAACTGTTTCTACTCGGTTCTGAGCTCTTTCGTGACGCAGGTCGTTCGCCGCGGCCGCCGTCCCCGGCACCAACCTGGTGCTGTTGACGGCGCTCAACAACTGCCCCCAGCTGGAGCAGCTCGAGCCGTTCGCGACAAAGCCCTGGGAGGCCACGGTGCGGAGGGGGGAGCCCGTGTTCAGGAAGCAGGGTCTGCTGTGGCCCCGCCGCCGGCCCCCCACGGCCTGCTACCGGGAGCACGTCGGCGAGCGCAACATCACCCAGTGCGGGGGCGCGCACCGGGACCGCGGGCTGCACCTCGCCGTCCTGGCAGCCCTGGCCGCGCTCCCGCTGCTCACGGCGTCGGCCTGAGCGCGCTGCCAGCCGTCACGCGACGGATGTGATCATCTCGGCAGCTGGCACCGCAAAATCTAGAGCTGTCTGACTTGATTATCACCTGTAGAGTACGGCGTGACCACAATGTGCTCAAGTTTTTGCTGTTTTTCCCAATCCCCAGACTGCGCCGCCGTACTGAGGGTGTAACGTGACCCCCCCCCCCAAATCTCATTTAAGCCCTTTTCTGCGTTGTTTCTGTTTCCCACGATGATAAAAACAGCTCAAAATAATCCTTTACTATTAATAAGCGTAGATAAAGCAATAAGTCGCAATAAGTGAATTGATGCAATAATAGGTAGCAATTGCAAGTGAATTGAAAGCAATATTATTATTCAATGGCAATAAACTAATAACGTTATCCATTTGTAAACAATTATATACCTGCATATTTATTTACTAATTTTAAAATATATTAATAAATGAACCTATACGAAAATTTTGTTTATTTAAAAGAACTTTACAAAGACGATTATTCCTGAGCCTACCACAGAAGAAATCCCCCGTGTGGAGCAGTGTGGAACAGCCAGCCGAATCAGGCCGAATCAGGCTGAATCAAGCGACGTGACGCTCTACCCCATGGAGCTGTCAAAATAAGATAGGCCGACCGACCGTCAACCTCGGAACGTCTGAAATTTTGTGTCAGAGGGTTTTCTCGCACGCTGAGTCCAAATCTGGTAGTGCCCAGGTAGTCCGGGCCCCCGGGGACGTCGTCGGGGACCTCCCGAGCACGCCGATGACACCCCCACCCCCATACGGCAAATTACGATTCGGCTCCAAACGTCGTGTACCCGGGCTGGTGGATATTTCTTAAAAGTCACCAAACATAATTATTATTAATAGCAAATCGCCCATAATAGTTTATTATCCTGATCATTTCATTATTGTCACATGGCACTTCCCTGGCGTTGCCGCCTGGAGCCACACAACGATGCACGGGACGGGAGGCATCCCCAAAGGATCACATCCTGGACAAGCGAGGCGAGATTGCCTACCCCAGGAAAAAATCACATCCCGCGACCACGATATATCAGTGAGTGTGCCGTAATTATCCCCCCCCCCCTTTTGCCCTTTGCCGTGCCGGTCCGGTGGTCCGGTGCCGGGCCGGTGCCGGGTCCCCTACCCCTCTCCTCCTCCCCACCCCGCATTTCCCGTGCCTTTATGGTTGGAAACGTAAACAAACAGCCAATTTCCGATAATGCCTACTCATATAATTATTGATCATAGGATTTTAACCAGAATTTTATAGTGGACATCGCCGCTTTTCGTTATTAATCGCAAGGTATAGTGCTTACTTGTTTTCGGTCCGGAATATTGAATTGTTCCATTCCGGTTATTGTTG